TCTAGAGGAGCCAAGTCGGGTGGCCGAGGGGGCCATTTCTAGTACCGTCAGTACTAATGACACGTTCAGCAAAAATTAACGCTTAATAGTCTCTAAATGCTTTTGCATTATGTGCAGGACAGCCGTCTTGTTGAAACCAAATTTCGTTGAAGTTAATTTGAAAACTTTGAAGTGCAGGAATAATTTTATTTTGCAGTAATTGGAGATATTTGACTGCGTTTAAATTGCCTTCAATGAAAAAAGGGCCAATAATATAATCTCCCAAAATTCCAGTCCAAACATTCAACTTTTGTGGATACTGCATATGCACAGACACACTCTAATTCTGATTCTCCTGACATCAATAACGTACAAAATATTTTTTAAAAAATTATTATTTGCATGGCCATCATAATTTCACAAAATTGCATCTGCTTAAATTCATAATCAGGAAAAATTTCTTGAGTTTGTCTGCACTTTATAACAATGGTAGTTGTTTCTTTCCAAAATGTTCCTCACTGTTTTTGGATTCAAATCAACTTCACGGGCAATTTGTTTACTTGAATACTGCGTCGCTTCACCCAATGCACAAACTTGAATTTCTCTAATTTCTCGTTATTGAGAAATTTTCTTTTCGCGAAGTTGATCTGATCGGCAGCATTTTTTATATCTGCCATTAATACAGCCAAACTTTTCAAATTGATGAATAATGACCAATACACTTTTTTCTATAGGTATTGACCTATTTTCAAAAGCCATAATAAATAAATTACTAGTTTCTTGTACTGAACTGCCCCCAAAGTACCATTTTATTAAGTAATACTTATGTTACTCAACTATGTAATAAGGCAACCCTGCAGCTGTTTCTTACGTATAAGCTGGATCGGAAGTAATTGTCTGGCGTTGACTAATGAGCGTGCATGAGGAATGTGGAGGGGGGACCAAATGGAAATATGAGTGTTATCTTTGTCTATTCGCTGAAAAAATCAAAATTTTCACAGTTTACAAGGAGAATTCATGGTACTACAAATAGGTCTAAGTGGTGTATTCGCTTTATGAACTTTCGGTACTCCATAAAAATCAAGTGTCTTGCTGTAATGAGGTGCAATTAATCTTCTTTGATAGTTTGTTAAATAACCTTTAAACTTAAATAAAGTTCTATAGATTAGGTTTTCCAAGGGCTTCGTTCAATCGTTTGTTAACTTTGTATAAGTTAATTTGTTATTGGGTCTGTAATTTTGTTTTTATATTGTATTTTATCCATGAACATGACAGTAATTACAATAAAAATTATAGAAGAAGCCATACAGCTGTTATAATACACTTAAACCTACTTTTATTCCTTTAATTATATACTAAATAAGTGTAAAAATCTACCAACGTCACACTTTTTACGACTTTGTTACAGTCGCTAGACCAAAAACAATGTCATTGTTACGAAACTTCAGTTCGCTATCTGAAACAGATATTTGATTGATCGAGGACATAGTTTCTGTACCAAAAAATTCGACCAGCTTCCTATACGAATTGTAAATTACTTTCACGAGATAGAAATTAACTGTCTATTACACAAAATCGTGAGAACTTCTTGATGATCTGACAGTCATGCTTAAAGTACATAATTGTAGTTTGATTTGTTGATTAAAGTTACACGGCTTTTTCACCAATGTGGTTTTTACCGTGACGTGACGAAGATTAAAATAATCATAACCTTAGGGGGTATTATTACAGAAATTTAAGCCGTGTGATATATATATATATATATATATATATATATATATATATATATATATATATATATATATTGTATTTTTTAGAAGCTCTTGATAAATATTGTAATCACAATTGAAAGCTCGAGTAAAAAATAGTCAACAAATAGCCCCTTTTATTGACTCCAACCCATCAAAAACAGTGTTATATTTTTTCCAAACGAGTCACAAGTACTTCTTTTTTCTTACTCTTATATATAATATATATATATATATATATATATATATATAACTGTTTTTCATGGGTTGGAGTCAATAAAAGGGGCTATTTGTTGACTAATTTTTAAACGAGCTTTCAATTGTGAGTACAATTTTTATCAAAAGCTTCTAAAAAATACAAAATATCTTACAAAGTTGAACTAGAAATAAAAAATTTTTTGTTAACTCACCAAATAAAATTAGTTTTTTATATAAAACTACCGCTTACATATTAATTACAAAAAATATTAATAAAAAAATGTCTTATTCTAATAAATGTTTCTCTGAAAAATTTTGATGAAGTTTCTTAACAAAAACAATTGAATTTGTAAACAAAAATAGAATAGCTACAAACCAGCCTAAATGTCATAAATACTAACTTAAAAATTTTTATTTTTGACATATTGTCAAAAATAAAATTTTGTTTAAAAAATTCTTCTTTGTTTAGTAACAAAAAAGAAGATTTATTCACCATTGATAGATGCCCGAAAAAATGTAACAAATACATGGAAAATTCAAAATGTGATATTTTACTGTCTGCATATATAAATTAAATAGAAATAATATAATTATAAATTTTGCTTAAATTTTGAATTTCTGACCTTTTGTTTAAATTATTATCACTTTTGCTAATACAAACCATTTCCAATAAAGTTCTTTTAAATTTATTACTTTCACTACATAAAATTTTAATATTATCAAAATCCATAATATGGTCTTTGTCTATTACATGCTCTGCCAAAGCACAAGATGGTTTCTTAATTCTACAATCACTCTTGTGAGAAATAATGCGATTTGAGAGATTTCTTCCAGTCTCACCAATATACTCAGCTTCACACTGAGTACAAACAATGCTGTATACTACATTTGTTTGATCTAATTTGTCTATAGGATATTTAGTTTTGGAATATAAAGATGAAATAGTTTTGATGTTCTTTGTTGTTATTTTTATATTGTCAATAACCTTTAATGTTTGTATTAATTTAGGAGTTAATGATGGTATAAAAGGTAGTGAATGATAATATATGTTTTGATTGTTGGATACAGTGTTTTGAGATTTAGCAAAAAATGGTGTTAAGTTATTTATATTTAATAAATTAGAAAAAAGCATCCTGTATGTAGCATATCTGGAGGATAAGAGTTAGGAAAATAGTCAACAAATAGCCCCTTTTATTGACTCCAACCCATCAAAAACAGTTTTATATTTTTTCCAAACGAGTCACAAGTACTTCTTTTTTCTTACTCTTATATATATATATATATATATATATATATATATATATATATATATACATATATTAAAAATATATTTAACAGGTGAAGTGCAGAGGTTTGATCGGTCAATTAGTGGCAAATGACTTTATTAGTTTTTTAGATAACGCTTTTTTATTATTTTTTAAAAGCATCCTCACTTCTCTACAAAAAGTGATTATATAAGAATATAAGTAAATAATGAACAGGGTTCATACTTAAAAAACAATTTGTTTTTGTTTTTGTTTTTGTTTTTGTGATGTTCTGAAAACTCTACGATAACTTAACATTAAAACTTAACCAACCAAACGAGAAAAAAACCACAAGAAATACTGACTGAGGGTACCAATGTTCATTAAATAATTTTTAGGTGATTTTTATTTTGACCGATGGTTTCATTGGGATGCATTGTTTAAGCTATTTTAAAAATCAAACGACACTAGTGTACTTTCGGTTATTTGCTCTCCTGTGTTGAGGGGATTGACTACCTAAAAAAGCTATATAGGGAAAGAATAATTGATGCTAGAACCGGATACACCAGAAATTATCACAAATAAAGAACTTAATATAAATGTACAGGAAGTTCGGAAAATACTTGAAAACCTGAAGAACAGAAAAGCAGCAAGTAAAAACGGGATACCAAACGTGTTATTGAAATATTATGGAACAGCAATGACAGAACAATTAACAACATTAATAATAAAATTATATAATACCGGAAGAATGGAGAACGAAACTAGTTCTACTATTCAAAAAAGGAGATAAAAAACAGCCGAAAACTACAAAAGTATAAACTTGTTAAATACTACACTAAAACTTACAACTAAAATTTAATAGTAAATTTAATAGTAATAATAAAAGTGCCAATAAATCAAAGGATGCAGATGAACAACAGGGTTTTCGTAGTGGAAGATCGTGAACAGATGCAATATTCGTTATAAAGCAAATTACTGAGAAGTCACTAGAGTATAATAGACCAGCATTTCTGTGTCTGATTGACCTAAAGAAAGCGTTTGACAGAGTAAGACTCAAAGATGTAATCCATCTTCTGTATAATAGAGAAGTTCCCCTAAATATTATAAAATATATCGATAACAGCTACCAAAACAACAAAATGGAAGTCAGAATAGATTGACAACTTACAGAACCTATAGAAATAGGCAGCAAAAGCGTGTCCTCAAAATAGCAAGAGATAAGTCACTAATCGGCAGAAAAAGTATTGGACCACTGCGCAAAATATGGAGTGACAACCTTCCATTCTTCTTCTTCATGTGCCTTGTCCGTTCCGAACGTTGGCAATCAACATGGCTATTCTGACTTTGTTTACGGCAGATCTGAATAGTTCAGTAGGTGAGAATCCGAACCATTGCCGCAAGTTCTGGGGCCACGAGTTCTATTCCCTGGACCTCTTCTGCTGTCTATTTTCCCTTGAACGATCAGCTGTAGTACTCTATATTTATTATGTCTCCTAACGTCTCCCAAGTATTCCAACTTTCTTTTCTTTATACTTATTCCTACCTCTCTCTCTTTACCTATCCGGCGTAGTACCTCTTCGTTGGTCACGTGCTCAGTCCAGGATATACGTATTATACGTCGGTAAGCCCACATTTCGAAGGCCCCACGTTCGGAACGGACAAGGCACATGAAGAAGAAGAAGATGAGTAAGATGATAAATGATCTTAGAACTTAAACATTTTTTATTTTTTTCTAGTTAATATGTCTGTTGTATTGAAAAGAGGGTGTCTTTAATTTAACATACCTATTTATTCTAATCATGTATTTAATGATAAATGTCATTTTCAGGAACCTAAATTGGAGACTATCACGCGAGAGACAATCGAAACTTTCAGGGGAGAAAGGACTGAATGCAAAATCACAACTGAAAAGAAAGATACGGAAGAAAAGTGCCCTCCAGACATAATAGAAGCTTTGACCGATAAAGTTTTAAGGTCAAACACAAAACCTAGCGTAAAGGTAAGTTTTTTTCGATATATCTTTCGGTTTTCACTATTTTACTATTACATAAATCTAAAATAAACGGATATGTGAATATGGGCATCTGTGGGGAATGTCTAAAATTAAAGCTTTTCAGGTTCCATGACTAGTTGCTGTACATCGATATATTTTCCATAATAATTGAATACCAATATGTTTTCAAATTTTCAAATATAGGCTCATAATTTATATTCCATAGATACTTGCGAGTAAAAAATAAAAAGTACTAGTTATAAACATAGTAATTTTCGCAGTAATATTCGTATGAGAGTACGAAAAGCTCAGCAAGCTTTCAGCATACGCAATATAAATGTGAAACCTGAAAAGTGAAAACCTGAAACCAAAAATCCTTATAGACAAACTGAAGATAGATATATAGATAGATAGGTTTATTGACAATTTTTACATAGTAAACACTACATGTCATGTCACAATAAAAATAATTTACTTTTGTATACTAAGAACTAAGAAATAATACAAGAACATATAATAAAACATATACAGTGAAAATTAGATATATAAAATTATAACAAATAAGAAAGAAACATTTCAGTAAGGCGTAATATAGTTTTCATTAAAAACGACCACACTAGGAGCTCAAACAAACAAATTCCTATATACTATAGAAACAGTGTTCCAGCAGGAAGTGTTTTGCTAGTTTATAAAATTGTTTAGAATTCATTGCCTTAATATCAATATTTTTGTTTAAGTTTAAAAAACAATTATACAGATTATAATCTATTGTATTAAGTTGTGTAACACACAATCTGGAATATGGTATAATCCGACAAGCGAGAGCTGGCGGGTGAGCTGTGCGAAAGTAGAAAAGGAATTATTCTAAGAGAGATAGGAGAGGTACTTAATCGCGATTATAGGTATATAGTATAGGTACTTAAACGGTTATACACGATGTGAACTCCTAGCCGACTTCAATAGAAATGAGCAATTCCTTCCACTTTTCAATTTGTTCTACGCGCAACCCGCCAGCTCTCGCTTGTCGGGTTATATAATGATATGACTTTTATTTCTTGTATTGTAATGATGTTGATCAGAATGTGATTTTACATCTTTTATATTATTATGAATAGTTAACAAAGTTTCAAATATATATATTGAAGGTAAAGGAAGAATGCCATACTTCTTAAATAAGGTTTTACAGCTGGCGCGATATTCTGCTGAGTCAATAATTCGGATTGCTGCTTTTTGAAAAGTGAAAACTTTATATGCATAGGACGAGTGTCCCCAAAGAAGTATGCAATATGTCAGGATACTATGAACCATTCCAAAATAAACTGACCTAAGAATATCTCCACTCAAAGAAGTAGCCAATCTGCGCATAGCAAAAATCTGTGAGGCGAGCCCCCTACACAATCGTTCAATATGGTGCGACCAGTTCAACCTTGTATCCATAGTAACACCTAGTAACTTTACTGGTTTAGATGGTGTAACCCATCTATCAGAACTAAATACGATTTTCTGGGTTTTCTGCTCGTTTAACTTAAGTTTGTTACAGTTAAACCAGGATTTAGATTTTTCTTATATATCCTGACTGTAATCAGTTTTACCTCTACATAATAAGGTTGTGTCATCTGCAAAAAGAACACAGTTGTTGTTATCCAATGCACTTGGTAAATCATTTATATATATCAAGAATAGTAGAGGACCCAAAACTGATCCTTGTGGTACTCCGGTTGAAACTGGTAAAGGATCAGATTCTTGATTATTAAATGCAACAATCTGTGTTCTTCCTGTAAGATAGGATTTTAAAAGGTCATGTATGGTGCCCCTTATTCCATAGTACTCCAATTTTATCAATAGTGTTTGAATATCTACACAATCAAAAGCTTTTGTAAGGTCACACATTAAGCCATTAGTAGGTTCACCTGCATCAAAACCGTGAACAATATGTTCTATTACTTCTAATAAAGCTTTAGTTGTTGAGTATTTTTTTCTAAAACCAAATTGAGAGCTAGATATAATTGATTTGTTATCCAAATAATTTGATATACGATATTTAATTAAGATTTCAAAAATTTTACTTATTGTTGGTACTATGGTAATAGGTCTGTAATTGTCAGGAGCATTTTTATTTCCTTTTTTATGAAGTGGAATTACTTTTGATATTTTGAATACATCAGGCCAGTAACCCTCGTTAATGCATTTGTTAAATATTATTGTGAGTGGTTCAACAATTGTATCAAGCGATTCCTTAATAATTTTACTGTTAAAACCATAGTAGTCAACACATGAGGAATTTTTTAATTTGTATATGCATTCTTTTACATCAGATGCTACTATTGGAGACATAAAGAACGAACTTGACCTTCTAGGTAGCCTGCTAAGATAGTAGTTTATGTCATGTTCAGAGTCTCCTATTGATTTCGATATAATATCTGCTATATTCGTAAAGTATTGGTTAATTTCTTCTGGTGTTAAGTTCAGATTAGACGTAGTATGTTCCTTATAGGTTTCTTTTTTAACATTACTCCATATTGTCTTACTTTTGTTGGTGGATTTGTTAATTATGTTAGCATAAGCAGTACGTTTTTCAGCTTTTATTGCTTGCTTATATTTTTTTCGTATTTGACAATATTTAATCCAATTGTCAATAGTATGTGTTTTTCTATATGTTGCTTTACAATCGTAAAGTTGTTTTCTTAAATCTCGAAGTTTCTGATTAAACCAATGAATAGCACTTTTTCTGCTATTCATGTTTTTTAAAGGAAAACAAATGTTGTATTCTTCACACATATATTTCATAAACAACTCTGTCATGTTGTTTGAATTACATTGGATATCGTCAAACACAGTCCAATCTTTGGATTTAATTTTTTCCACAAAATTCTTAATATTTTTTTCATTAATTAATCTTTTTTTAGTCTTTTCTATAATTGTAGACACATTTTTTAAACCACTCACAATAGCAAATATACCCAAATGAACAGATATTACAGGATCGTAGATCCTGTAATATCTGATCTGATATCTGATATATGTTAATAGAAGGACTCTATTAACAAATATACTTGATAGAACATAAGGGGATAGAGAATGAAATAAAGTCCAGAAAGTGAAGTTGGATCGGCCACACCTTTCACAACAAGAAAAAAAAAGAAAAAGGAGACGCCTAGCACAAACTTAAGGAACATCAATTCAGGAGCTTGTAGGAGTAAGGGTGAACTCGCAAAGTAAACGTTTCAAAAACAATCTCATCTTTCTTATAAACCTTTAAAGAATGCTTGTATATATTATAAAAGCATTTTTCGCCCTTCATATTACTAAAATTCTGTAAGAAAAAATATACCAATCCATTCAAGTCAGAAACTGAACTACATAATCGTCTAGAAGAGCAAAGGCGAACCCACAGGCTTTCGTTGCGTTTTCCTTCAAGGTTCACCCCTTAACCTCTGTAACCGTATCAACATGCTGGTGTTTCTGTAGTTGGTCGATCGATTCAATGTTCATTCTTTGAGGGATAGGTTAAGGAAATCTTTATTTCGATAGGAAAGAATGATTGTGTCCGTTTAGGGTCGGTTGACCCTCTTCAGACCTGTAGTTGGTGAGAGATAGTCTCAGATATATGCGTTATTCTTGAGTTTTTGGGTACCATAGTGTGCTTGTTGTGCGCTGAGAAAACTACAAGGCAGAAGCAAAAGAAAACGGAACAATGGATTATTAACGTGTTTAAAACCAAACGAAACTGTGGTAAAGTGTACGTTTCAATAAATACAAAGAAAACTGTATCTGCGTGCACAATCGGACTGCCATGTAAGTGCCAAGTAAAATGTATTTTGTAAAGTTGGGCATAAACAATATATGATTTTCAATAACTTTTGGCAAATCGGTAACTACGATAATCAAAGCGCTAAGTTACAGAGCTAGTCGGTAGTTTCGGACCATAGAATATAGTGTTTCAATAAATGGAGAAAGAAAATGTGTGTGTCGTCAGGCTTTTATTAGCATCCATGGCATAAGCGAAAAAAGAGTTCGCGTTGTTTCAGATAAGCAGACCTGATAGTCTAAAACAACGAACCTACTGTCGAAATATCTTTGTCAACGGATTCAATATAGGTGTTCAGCCTCCTTCTGTTGATGATTGTAGTACCTACCTGATCTAAGAGTATAGTTGAATTTGATGGGTTAAAGACTAGCAACCCAAATTCTTCCATAATAACGGAATTAGATACTGAGCTGAAGGTTCATTTAGAAAAGGCTGCTCAGAATATGATAAAAAGCTACGAAAGCAACCAGGATGAAAATACTGAAGTTGTATGTATTGATTTACAATAAGCATTACCCACGCCTAAACTTACCTGCAACGTACAAAATCGCAAAGAAATATGGACTTTGTCTTCTATTTATTCTTTCATTGTTAGTTGATTAAAGTTATCTTCTTCTTTTTCTTCAGTGCCTTATCCGTTTCGGATGTTGGCAATCATCAAGGCTATCATGGTTTTGTTGACTGCTTTGCGAAACAGCTCTGCGGAGGTTATCCCAAACCATTGTCGGAGGTTTTTTTAACCACAAGATACGACGGCGTCCCAATCCTCTCCTGCCAAATACTTTACCCTCCATAACCAGTTGAAGAATTCGATATTTTTCTTCGTTCTGCATCACGTGCCCGAGGTACTCAAGCTCACGTTGTTTCACTAAAGTTTTATTTCTCCTCTGAATATTATATCTAAGGTGATATGTTTTTCGTTTTATAATATCCACAAGTTCATGATCTCTATGTATTAGTCTTCATTTCTAACATGGTCAGTCTATGGAATTTTTAGAATGCGGCAGAATATGCGCATCTCAAAGTTGTACAAGTGTCGAAACGAGATAATTGTCGACGGCCAAGCTTTTATGCCAGGTAGTAGGATACTGTTTACATAGCATAGCATTCTATCATGTGATATCGTAGAGTTAGATCAAGATCTCGTGTGGTAAAAATTATCTAATTTTTAGAAATACGTTTCTGTTCTGTTTACTTG